CATTATTAATGTTGCCAAAAAAGTATAACCGTTAACGAATTTGGTTTAGAAATACAATATACATATCCATGTTGCAAAGTTATATCTACACATAACAAATTGCGCCATATAACAATTTTTACCATTTATCAAATTATTGAAATACGATGGGTGTTTATAAGCAATTTAATGAAGTTTTTCAGGCATAAAAGTAATTTTTAGAAGAAGGTGAGTTTGTAAGATTTTGAGTTTATTGGCCAAAAAATCTATTGGAAAGTGGATAAGTTTAGAGTTGCATGAGAATTTTTGAGTGGAATATTAATATTATCTCCAGTGACTTTAAAAATAAATGAGATAAAACTTTAGGTCTATAGGTTTAAAAATTTTTGAACGTAAGGAGAATCAATCTAGTGACCATCCTATCAATTAATGAAATTCATACCACTTAATCCTACTTCACATTTGTTTCATTATACAACGTAAGATTATATATTAGACTAATTGAGATGAACTGTAGCTAAATTCTGTTCATCTCTAATAACTTTAGAATATTTATAAATAATTCCTTTCATTTCCCAAATAAAGGAAACTTTACACGAAGCGGAACTCTAGATTTCTTAACAAGTGTATGACTGAGGTTTGACCTAGATTTTTTACAATGTGCAAATTGATGTTTGCCTTCCCTACATTGCTATAGATTTCTTTATCACTTAATTTTGCAATGGAAATCAATTCCCTCCGGGCTCCAATATTTCATTCATCTATCTATCTCTGTCATGCCCCAGGTTCACGGGCCTGTTGGCACGTGTAAGCCGTGGGTCACAAAGAGCAATTCGTGGGTTGGCTAAATATACTGTCAAAATATTAGTACTAATTCTTAGGTATGGCACCATCACTTTAGTCCCACATAACGTTAAAAAATATTAGTGGTTTAATTAAATAGAGAAAAGCCCAAGACCCAAGAACAACTAATGCTAGCATTTTGACTGTGGATTTAGCCACCACGAGTTGCTCTCCGTGGGCCCATGGCTGCACACGCCAACGGGCCCGTGGGCCTGGGACGTGATAAATGGTATCGGAATAGTTGCTAGCCAGAAGTGTGGAGCTAAGTGCTATATGGGGCTAATTGCTATACCACGTGATGACGAGGATGTCGTTTTTGTAAGGTGGGGTGATTGTGGCATCATCACTTTAGTCTCACATAGACTAGTGTGAAGAAATATTAGTAATTTAAATAGAGAAAAACTCAATGCCCAAGAATAACTAGTGATAGCATTTTGGTGGTGGATTTAGCCAACACACGAGTTGCTCTTCGTGGACTCACAGTTTGCACGCGCCAACGGGCCCGTGGGTCTGGTGTGTGACATTAGGCATTGGTTTTTCTCTATTTAAATCACTAACATTTCTTCACACTAGTCCATGTAAGACTAAAGTGAGGATGTGAGATCTCATACTTTGCTAAACTCGATAGTATTCAGAAACTATTCTAGACTTTATCAATTAGTTTGCGAGTTAAATATATGTGCTTCAATCATCATTCGCGAAGTCTGAGAACAGCAGCCACACAATTGCAGCTGTGTGAACCATTTAAGAAGTTATTTTGGTCACTATGATCCAGAAAAAAAATCCAAATATGTAATGTTTATAGACTAAACTGCAATTAGGATAATTTAGTTATATTTTAATTAAACTGTAATTAGGATAATTTAGTTATATTGTAATTAAATTACAGCTATGAAAATAGAAAATGTTATACTTTAACTAGGGTAACCTATCACAATATTTGTGAACTTAGCCTAAATCTATTCTAGCAAATTTAGCCTCAAATCTATATATCTGCTAATTTATAACTCCATTTTCCCATATTGAACTTTCATAACCCCCATTTAACACCACTAAAATTCAGATGTAAACTAGCAATGCAAAGTTGGGATATTAAAGTAAAAATTCCTTTTTGATTAGAGAGGGGTATTTTTGTCATTTAACTACTTCTTGGTTTGAGATGTGTTGGTGTTAAATAAGAGGTTACTTTTAAGCCGATGTCCAAAAATAGCGGGGTGACTTTGCAAATATCCTTATGCGAGACAGGGATATTAAAATACGATTCGATTTTGGAGATATACTGATTTTTTTTTACCTTTTAACTTTGTGATGTTTTGCCTCGTCAGCCAATTTGAAGGTAGCTCAGTTTTGCATGATAGACAAATAATTAGTACTCTTTTTTCTTTTTCTTTTTCTTTTTCTTTTTCTTTTAATTTTTTTGGATGTTTCTGCTTATTTTTTAATGATTCTGCTTGTTTTGTTTTTTTATGTTTCTGCTTTTTTTAAGTTTTTTTTGCATGTTCATTGAATTTGCTTCTGTTTTTAAAAGGTGCTTTTAGAACAACCTGAAGATAGCTTCTTAAAGCAGGTTCTGTTTTTTTAGTTTACATATCATGTATACCTTTTATCTTTTGTCAATAATTATTAAGCATTGTTCTACTAAACACATTAACTGTTTTTTAAGCAAAATTTAAAATTTAATTACCAAACAGTTATTTTCAGCATCTTATGTGAGTTGCTTCTATAAGCTGCTTTTATAAACAACAACGTTACTATAAACTCTAGCAATACCAAACTGGCCTTTGGTGCTGAGAGAAAATATGTAATTAGCATATCTCTACTCTAACAAAAGAAATCAAGTATGTTCTCAATTACAATCTTGCCATTAAGATGGAAAAAAAAAACTTTATATCTTTTTATTCTTGTAGGTTTCATTCTGTAATGACTCACGCCAATTGTAATACATAACTTAGAAATAATTTCTTCAAATTCAGGAGATTCTTTCCTCTCATATTGAATACTTACTTTTTGTGGGAGTCGTTTTTTTAATCTCTATTTTAAGTAGTTTCATTACGATCTCGGTTGTTTTATACTTTTATTGCTGCGCTGATGTCTATAACAAGTGTATTAAATTCTTAATATTATTTTAATTTTTTTCTAAATTAGTTAAATGCTTAAAAGTTCTTTTACTATTTTCTTAGGTACCGTTTGGCAAAGGGTTAAGTGAGGGGTTAAGGAGACTTAATCCCTTCTTAACCCGCCAAACACAAAAAATCTATACAATGGTTAAAGTGAGTTAACCCTCCATAATTTGCCAAACATAAAAAATATAGAAGGGTTAAACTAACCCCTCTAGAGGGATTAAAATGAGTTAACCCCTCAAAATGAGGGGTTTACTAATACTCATATTTAGAAGGATTAAGAGTTAACCCTTCTAATTATAAAGAAAATAGTCAAAATCATTGTTATTCCCAAACACTAAAACTGATTACAAGAACTAAAATAAAACTTATTTAACAGGCTAATAATTTAGTCCTTCAGATTATCGAATGAGCTAAGTACATTAATCCTTCTTTTTAACCCCTCTTCCTTAACCCTTTGCCAAACGGGGCCTAGTGATTTGCATCTCCGCAAAAATATACCTGGAAACTTGCATATGTTGGCATCATGTTTAAGAATTACTATTTCACTCAACCACGGTCTGCAAGGAAGTTATAAGAAAAGAACACAAAAGAAAAGTAGTTGGTCTTAGAAAATCAAAGTCAAAATGTTATCAATATAATTTTAAAAAATAATATGTTTATTGGTACAAATATTATTCTATAACATTTAATTTAGTTGTTTTATTTTTCTAATCAATTGTACATGGTTTATAGTATAAAAAAAGGAAAAGAAATATACAGTTATAAACTTTTAAATTGTTTATAATGTGATTGGAATCTTATATGAGACAAATCTCCAATGAGTAAAAGAGCTCCATTGTCTAAAAAACTATAAAACGACAAAAAAAATAAAAAGTAAATTTCCTAGATGAAAATCTTGGTTTTCTTCAATC